GATCTCGTCTGGGTTCCACATCAGGGAGTTGCTCGTCACGCTTCTGCTGCCAGCCATGCGGCCCTGCTGCCTCAGCGCCATTGAATGCCTCTCCTCATGCAGGCACTGGGAAGGGGAAGCTGCTGCTGCTGCCCCTGCCTTTTTCGCCCACAGCACGGCTGGCTAGGGGTGGCCAGGTGGGCAAGGCTCGCCATTGATTGCACCGAGGTGGCTGCAGCTACAGCAGTGCATCGCTAAACACCACACCAGGAATGGCCTCAGTGACAGTGCTTCACTATCCCCTGAAAAAAAAGCTCTGTGTGCTATTTTGATTTCCTTCTTGAATATGGTGTCACAGAGGCATTACCAGCATCCCTAACTGGGCCGGCAGCATGTCCATCTTCAGAGCCATCAGAGATTGGCTCTGTCAGACATGGTGGAAGCTTCTAGCAACTTCTTATGGAAGCTACCCCTGTGCCCCCCTGCCTCCCTCCCCCCCAAAACCCAGGCTGTGCCAAACCAATGTACTGGGTCAGGGAGAGGCATGGGGGGCCAAGAACACACCAAGCTAGAAATGAGAGCCAGCTTCAAACCTCTGTCTGAAATCTAAGGTCCTCACAGGCTCCACTGAGATGCCAGTTTGTGCTCTTGCCTCTCTCTGGAAGTTCTTCATGGCTGGACAGCTCAGGACCCCAGCAGTACAGAGTGACAATTGGGAAGAGTCCATCCAGCCTCCTGGCGCTGCCCAAAGTGGCAATGCCCCCAGCTTCTCCACGCACACCATCCAGCCTGCTCCCCCTTAACAGCAGTGACTTTCAGTGGCCCACCAAGGGACTGAGGCATGACATCACTGCCACAGAAGCCATTCCTAGCTACACGGCATCCTTATAAGGTTTTGGCCACCTTATAAAAGGCAGCAGGAATACAAATGGAACTTGCATTTGTCCAAAGTGACTAGTTCCAAGGGAAATTTGTGAGTATATAAATGGCTTTTCCCATCTGATAAGGGTGAAACCTTTCCATCCCTGGCAAGACTAGCAAGGAGGGAAGGTCAGTTTCAAATGGTCCCACTGCACCATGCAGTGGCCCAGAGACCAGCAGCATAGAATTCCCTGTACAGTGGCTGGAGGGTGGAATCCCTTTTGTGTGGATCCCTCAGAGAACGCAGGACATTGGCTTCTCAATGACAGAAAAAAAATTTTGTTTATCCAAGGATATACTTTTCATTTGGAAGTGATGAGAAACTTGGAAGACTAATTGCTAAGGCATCTAAAATTGTAGAAGTGGATGCAAAATTAAGGAATTCTATCGCATGGCAGCAGAGGTGAGGCGGTTAGCTCAGGCTGTAATATCAGTATTGTAAGGGCCAGTGCAGCCCCAGAAGGGTTAAATCCTTTCCTTCAGAAGACAAGAGCAGTCTGCCCGAACTGGCAGCTGCAGATGCGTCCTCTGCTCAGGCAAAGCAAGCAGTTGGACTGGCCAGGTGGTCAGAAACCATAATTAAGCAGAGGCTCCAAGGCACAGGCAAGGATTGTTTGCCGGTTTTTCCTAGAGCAGCTGGATTTGGGAACAGCTGCTGTCTGTGGTAACATGGGTGACAGTTTCAGCAGTGTGCATGTGCTGTAAAAGAAACAGAACATCAGAAACACAGGCAGGCTTCCCTGTTCATGGGTGTTATGTGAGGTGACCATGGAGCTGCTGCAGGGGCAGCTGCGTTTCTCCTCCTCACAGGAGGGCAGTTGCATAGCTCCTCTGTGTCCATGCACATGTGCTGCTCCAGAAGGGACACAATGGCTTGAGTAGAGCTTGCATGTGGGGTGATGCAGGAGAAGGATTTAGCCTGCTGTTTCTTCTGGTTTAGGTGGTAGATGCTGTTGGTTTCTGACCTGGCTGCGAAGTCTTGCAAGTTATCAAATACTTCTAGGGGAGACTGTCTGAACTGCAGCTTACTTAGTAACAGCAGCACTTTCTTAAAAGTCAGGTTCAAACTCTTTCACCTGGAAGACTCAAGGACCACTGTAAAAACTGTCCTGTGATGTGATGTGCAGCACAGTGTTTTGTTTAAAAATGTGCTTGAACCTAACTAATAAACCACTCCAAAGACAGTAGTTCAAGTCTCTGACTGCCTCAAAGCAGAGCTTAAAAACTCAGATAGAGCCAGTGAGGAACATAGTAGCTGTGCAGCACAGGGCAGCCAGTGGTTGGCATTGGCTGAGCTAAGATCGCAGCAGCAGGTCCCTGTGCTGTAGCAATCACTGTGTGGGACAGACAGCATCCAAAGGCAGCAAGATCTTTCCAGTGGGAGAGGGCTGTTTTTATTAAAAGAGCTAGCAGTGAAGACTCTGTGGTGATCTTTACTTCCCTACCAAGGTATCACAGTTTTGGAGACAGCTACACAACACAACACACCGAGTTCATGTGACAACAGACAATGTTTATTAATGGACGCCTCCTTTTATAAGGGATTCAAATTTCCTGTGCTTACACACCTGAGTTGGGATCTTAACACCACCCAGCTCACTGACCAATTAGATATCTGCATTCATGATTGAACGGGATTGGCTGGGGCCCCCTGTTTGCGTTCGAATCCAACCTATCGTTGTCTTATCCGGGGGCATGTTTACTTCTATTCCCTAAGGAACTAGGCTGGTCCAGCTGAGATCTGTTATGGCCATTTTTATCTCTGCAACTTACAGACCAGCTGTAGCTGTCACACCAAGGAAAGCAAAGAAGCCTCAGTTTGGCTCTGATTGCTCCCTGGTTACACACCCAGGACTCCTCCACCTCTTCATCTTACCAACAGAGGCTGAACATACCCTTGTCCAGCTCTCTCCTGCCCAATATGGGACAACGAAAGAGCACAGTGGAGCACTGGTGGCAACTACCATCAAGCGCCCAAGCAGGGCCAACACAGCACTGCGTACCCACAAGGGAGGTCTCGCTCATCATCATCACAGGTTTTGTGTTTTGTGTTTCACAGCCACAGCCACTTCTTAGCTGGTAAGGAGAGATGTTATAATTTCTCTTGTCCCCACATCTTCTTTTCACAGTTGTGTTCTGTTGTGCATGGGAGTAATTCCATCTCTGATTGAGAGGGCCACAGTTGCAGAAATACTGTGTATGATGAACTCTATGCAGAGATTTTTGCTGGTTGCTGTTGTGAGTAATTATTTCCTGGATGACAGAGAGGCTTCACCACTTGGGGAAACACCAAGTGCATGGACATGTGAAGCACAGGGCAGAACCACACAGCCCTGAGCCTGCAGAAGTGAGTGAGGCTTTCAGCTGTTTGAGGTGCAGAGGCCTGAAGCAGGACAGCCAGGATACACTGAGGAAGGAGCACTTCCAGAAGTGTTTTGGTTTGAAAGACAAGAAGAAACCAGACACTGAGAGCAACACCCTTTCAGCTCAAAGCAAAAGCCTCTGGCTACCTATGGGAATGGTGCTGAAGTTCTTTCACATTGGTTGCTATGCCTATTTTCTTAATTAACATAAGTCAGTAGCCTCTGGATTTAGGCATGAGGCTGAGCCTGTCTCCTGCCTGCCTTCCCTATGACCAGCCTTTACCAGCCTCCTTTGGGCTGCTGGCTTACAGGGCGACCCATGCTGTCTCCTGGAAGACATCTAGCAGAAAACTAGGTCTAGATCTCGGCAAATGCAAATACCTGCATCTTGCAAGGCCTTGGCCAAGAAGGGGTAAGACAGGAAGGCTGCTCGTACGAGCAAAAGCCTCACTTATTGTAGGAGAAAACAGTAACAAGCTGGATGCAGTGGCAGCTATAGGAGCAGCTCGACTGGCTAAAAGAGTGCAGCTGCACTCTTCCTCCCACCTTGGTCACTTCTTTTTGTCTCTTTAAGTACCAGTAATTACTGTATCTTAGCAACAGATGGGAGAAAAATCCTTGAGAAAAAAAAAAAAAAAAAAAAAAAAGAACAATTCTAACCTTCTGAAGGCTCTCTTCATAAATCTGGAGCAGACTGGGGAGGGTAAGGTGCTGCACTTTTCCTTCTTTCCTTGGTTTTCAGGGAGGCCAAGAGGAACTCTAGCTTTTCCAGTTCTATTCCTGATGTCCATGCAATGTCTGTGTATGTCTCTTGGGTAGTTTTGATGCTGCTTTCAACCCACACATTCTTAACTTTTGTATTTAAACATGATCCAGAAGTTTCCACTCAGTGAGTATGGTCTCCTGTTACTCGCTCAACACTGGGATGGATCACTCCAATACTTGTTCTATATTGATCAATCAGAAATTCAGGTGGCTGTTTTACATCTACCTCAGCTCACTTCTACTTCTTCTCCAGGCTGAAAAAGGCTCATTCCTTCCACTGCTGCTCATGCTTCAGGCCTCAGACATCTTCATGGCTTTCCTCTGAACTTACTCCAGTGTATCAAAGCTTTTCTTACATTGCAAGGCATGAACACAGCACCACTGGTGTGATCTAATGAGTGCCAGGCAAAGGAAGCAACCCCTTCCTGGTCCCTGCCAGGTGCGTCTGTCCATGCAGCCCGGGACATCCCTGCAGCAGTCAGGACACACTGCAGATGTTCAGCCTATTTATGGTCCACTGAGCCCTCTATGCTCATCTCAGCAGAGCCAGTCAGTTCCAGCTTTGGATTCAGCTCCAATCCCAAGGCTTCCTGTACATTACCTACCTTTTTTCTGCCTCCATGTCCTCGGGCTCACCTGATGGGTAACACCTTACTTGTAACACCTCTAGGAAAGTAATAAGGCAAAGAATGAAGAGATGTAATGCAGAATCCAAAGATTCAGCTGAGATGCAAACCATTTCCAAATGTCGGGCATGTGGAAGAAAGAATTTAGCAATGTTGGAATGGGGCAAAAGCTTCTGGAAATTGAAAACCTGGATTTTCTATTAGGGACTTGTGCAGACAATGATAGGAGGCAAGAAAATATTATATTGGGAAAAGGCAAGGTTTGAGGGGTGCCCAGTGCAGCATAGGAAGGTCAAATGATGAGAAACCTATGGGGAGTTTGGGAACTGTAGATCATGTTTCTGCATTAATGGAAAAATGTCCTGAGGGGAAGGTAGCAATAGGCAGAGTGTGAGAGGGAACAGCTCCACGCAGATACTGCTGGAGGGTTGGTGCTCACAGACCAGGCAGAGGGAAGCAGCAGGTGCCACCTCCTCCTCTTCCAGGCAAGTGTTTATTTTAGGGCCACTTGTATGTGATGAAGTCACAGGGCCAGAGCAGGTAAGGGCCCTTCTTCGGCACTCCCAGAGGTGAGTGAGCAGCCACTCTAAGGCAGCTCCATGCACATCGGCAGTGGCACGAAAGGCGACAGGAGAGGTGACGCCTCCTCCAGCCTCGGGCTGCGGCAGCTCCTCCTGTGAGGGACCCAGAGCTTGTTGGGATGGGGAGACCTTTAGCTAGCTGTCCCATGAGATAGTTCTCAGTAGATGATGGTTATCAAACTCGTGTTGATTTTAGAAGTGCAGATTGACAACAAAATTGGTATTCATAATTTTTTTTTGTTGACTTTCAGAAACACTACGAAATATTTCAGAAAGGCACTTCCTTCTGCCTGTGTAGGACAGTCACCCCCACCCTGCGGACTCCTGTTCATATTCTGCCCTCCTGTGGAGAAACACATCGGAGTCAGACCTGTCCCACCGTCTAAGCCACGAACATTTATCACTGTTGGAATCTGTGCCATGAGGGGGTGACAGAGTCTAGCAGCTCGGAGTGGGTGAGCTGGGTCCGCTGCCCTGGGATGATAGGAACTAGCCGTGCAAAGACGAGTTCTACAGCAGGATGTAAAATTCTGTAATTTGTTTCAAAATCCAAGATTTTAAATTTCAAGTCAGTATTTTCCATTTCAACAAATTAAACAGAATTGTCTTTGAAAGCAAAAAAACAGCTGAGCTGCACATGTTCACCTCAGCTCTCTTTCAGAGGTAAGAAAATCCAGTACCTTTTAGTCCAACAAAATCGTTTAATCTGTTCCTTCAGGTTTGTCTGTCAAACGTCATCACATCCTGGTCAAGCGATACCAAAATTATAATTTACGGGGAAAAAGTCTGTAAGTGCGAGGCTGCGCTGCCCCGTGGGGCGGGCACTCGGAGCACCCCGGACGCAGCTGAGAGGAACCAGCAATTCTGCCGGACCCCCCACCGCGGGGTGATCCCGCCTGGTCCCCGCTGTCCCCTCACATCCACAGTGACCCCACTGCGGGGTGATTCCCCCAGCCTCTCATAGCACACAGGCCGTGCCGCTAGGGGCCGCCATCTCCCTCGTCCTTTCCCTTGCGCACCCTCGACCCCGCCTGCCGCCGGAAATGGCCCCTCCCGGTGTCCGGTGTGCGTTCATTCCTTCCGGTGCGGCGCCATCGGTGCGGCGTAGGTGAGGCTGGTCGGTTCTGTGTCCATCCGCATCCATCGGGCCCAGGCGCCGCAGCCATGGCCATCCGCTACCCCATGGCCGTCGGCCTTAACAAAGGCTACAAGGTGACCAAGAACGTGTCCAAGCCCCGACAGTGTCGCCGCCGCGGGGTGAGTATGAGACTCTGCTGGCGCGCGGTGCCCCGTGCCCGCCTCTCGCGGGGGCGAAGGGGCTCGCTGCCCCCGGTGCGCAGTGCGGATGTGTTCGTGTGTCCGGCGCTGAGCCGCCCATTGCCTCCGGCCCCGTCCCGCGGGGCCGCGGCTCGGCGCTTTCGCTGTGGGGGGACGGGAGGGCTCAGAACCCGCGCGCTGCTCGTGACTGCGGGGCGGGCGGGGCTCGATAGACCGGAGCCGGGCGGGCCGGTGGGCTCAGCCGGGAAAGGCAGCGGGTGACTGAAAGCTGTGTGCCGTCTAGAGTCTCTCCTGTTTTGTTTCTCTTGGTAACAACAGGCAATCTCCCACAAAACTGCCCGAAATGTCCTTACTAGGAGCTATCCAGGTCCGATAGATGCCGATAGGACACGAATGCATCTGGGCCTATTACTCACTCTTATTAAATGCTGTGTGTAGTTGTGGCGTCCAACGTGTGTTATAGTGCAAACCCTTGGTAGCTCATGGTCCTGCTTTTTCCAAAAATGCTAGTCCATGCCAGTGTGTGACACATCCGGACTCGAACCTGAACACAGAACCGGCACTCCGCAGGATCTGCCAGGGATCAAGTCTTCTTGGGGCATGCCAACAGCATGGGCTGGTTTTGAGGCCTAGCTGAGTCTGCCATAGCCCCTTGCAGACTCTGCTGCATCAATCTGCGTGTGGTGCTTTGTAACCTGCGTTCTCCCTCCTTTCCCACAGCGCCTGACCAAACACACCAAGTTTGTGCGAGACATGATCAGAGAAGTCTGTGGCTTTGCACCCTATGAGCGACGTGCAATGGAGTTGCTGAAAGTGTCCAAGGACAAACGTGCTCTGAAGTTCATCAAGAAGCGGGTGGGTCAATCAACAAAGAATGATGGCAGAAACTATGTCAGTTTTCTTTTTTCTGCCCTCCCCTAGGAATATTCGGGTTTTTTAAATTAATTACCTTTATATTTTTCATTTGTTTTGGAAGTTACTGGTGTAATATGATGGAGTAGAGAAAATGCTCCTTCGAGTGGGTGGGAGAGCAGGAGATGGATGCAAAGGTACTTTGCCAAAAAGACCCCAAGCTGAAGGATATAGGCTTGTCATGCTGTTTTTCAGTGGTTTGCATGTGTAGTGTGGGGAAGATTAGAGTAGCAGTGATGGAGGTTGGATGCCATTAAGCAGGGGACTTCAAATGAGGTTCCTTGAGTTGTAATGGTTATGAGAGCTGAAAGCAGCCCCTTTGGTGTCTCAAAAAGCTGTGCTGAGGTACTACTGAGACATGATGGCAAACTCCTGGCTGGAGGTTGAGTCCATCTTTCTAGGACTTTACTATGCTGCCTGGTTCTGAGGTGTGACGGAAGTGATGCCTGCAGCAGTCTCAGTCTATCCAGTCTGCGCTGGTAAAGACTGACAGCTCTGCTCTCTCCCCGCAGGTTGGCACTCACATTCGGGCCAAGAGGAAGCGGGAGGAACTCAGTAACGTCCTGGCAGCCATGAGGAAAGCTGCTGCAAAGAAGGATTGAGTTCCACAGGCTGCAACACAATAAAGTCCTTTCTCCCAAAGCTAGGGTAGTGAGTGTTCTTGGTACGCCTACACTTCAGTGTGTGCTGCAGTGGATGCTGATGAGGTCCTGAACTTCAGCCATCAAGGGTCAGTGGTTTATTGGACCTGCAGCTGGAGATGCTGAAACTGGTGCTGCTGTGACTTACTCTAGAGACAAATGCTGTATGACTGCGTGCAGCCTCAGGACATGGAAATCTCTGAAATAATGCCTTTCACCTCCTAGTCTGTCTCTAGACCTAGATGGTGGTAGGAGGGAAGTGAGGTGGGCAAAAATAGCTGTTGAAAATAGGAACTACTTTGCACTTTTTCCCCAGGGTACATCAGCCCATTCCTCATGCAGTGTAGCCTGCTCCTGTGTCTCCCTTTGTACCCTCTATTCAGGCCTGTTTTCTGCACTGTGTTAGCAAGTCATGAAAGACACCTGGAGTCAACAAGAGCTCCCTGGACACTTCGGTAGCTGGATTTTTTATTCTCCCCTAAGGGCTTCCTTGCTGTGAGATGAGCTGTTCTTGGCTGAGAAAGTACTTTTCAACTAGACTTCATGCTATTACTCTTCCCCTCTTTAAATTAATTTTTTCTTAGTGTTGATTGGAAGATGAAGTATTCAAATTTTCCAGCCCCCAGGTCTGCGTTTACTGATGTACAACAGTCATGTCAAGACATTTAATTCCTTTTCTCACTCCCAGAATAAGATACAGCTGTTGCAGAGGCACAGGCCATCTGTGGTGCAGCATAGTGCTGCTGATTGGTGATACTGAGCATGTTGCTGTTTGGCTCTGCTCTCTTTAAACGTGGAGCTCTTTCTGGTGGTATTAATCTGGTGACTGAACCTGGAGAACCATGCCCCTTTATCTGCTGAATGTACCAGCTGTGCTGAACTATCTTAGTGTCCTTTCAGCCTAGCCCAGGTTTCTAAGCAGAGAGAGATTCTGAGAGCTACTTGCCTTCTACCACATCAGAAATAACAGCTGTACCTCAGCCTAGCTCTGGGTGTACTGTTCAGTACTTTTTCACAAGCCATACAGAAAATAACAGTGAAATAGCTGAAATATCTCCAGTGAGAAGAGACCAGACTAGCTCTACTGCTGGTGGCTGATAACATGACCATTCCTTTGGCAAAATTGGAAATCCTTTATTGTAGATCATAATTCAGTATTAAAGACTGAGAAATACTTTATTCTAACAGAGCCATAATTCGTTCTGGCAGCTGCGCAGCAGCAATAGCTTCATGTCCCACTTCAGGATTGCCCACAGTCACCCATCTCTAGGCGGGGGCCGAGTGCTTAGGGACAAAACACCTTCCAGCCATCAGGGATGACAGTGTGTCATCCTCCAGTGAGATCCAGCTGTGGAAATGCTATGTCAAATACCTCTTTGTAATGCTCCACAAAATGCACTTCCAGTCCTTCTGTAATAAATCCAGCAAGGTCATAATAATCCTTTTTGTTCTCTGATGGCAGAATGATGCAGGTAACACCTGCCCTTTTCGCCTGTGGGGGAGAAAAAGTTGGGCTGTCAAGTCCTAGGAATCCTTCCATGTACCAGAAACACCCTTCCTCATTTCTGAAAGTAAAAGCAGTTATTTTGGAGCATGATCCAGCTTTACTCTCTTACTTGGAGAGCACCCAGGGCATTCCTGACATGAATTCCTGGTATCACCAGGGTGAAGCATCCCCCTTCAAGCCCCAAACACATACTCTCCAGTGCCATCTCAGCTGCAGAGACAGACTGGGGGAGGCATTTTAGCTGGTCTATGTTAGCAGCTCAGGGGATTGTTTAGAACATTCATACTATTTACAGGGTTTAAGTATCTGTTCCAGCTTGGGTGAGGATAAAGCCTAGGATGAAAGCAAGAGTTAAACAGCTTGTCAGACCAGCCTACCCCATCAATACCCTTGGCACGATTCTATAGAATCTTTTGATAGGGACCCCTTCCCTGGAAGGAGCATGGAAAGCAGAGCTGCCCCTCCCAGCACAGATCTGTACCCATCGCTTTAGGGGTGATCCTGTGTTAAAACCTGTGGCCACTCACACTCCTGGCAGTGCAGCCAGTCAGTGCCATAGCACAGGTTAGTCCTGTACTGACTGCTACAAACAACTACTCATTTTTAAGTCATACAAGGAAAAGAAATCACACTGCACAAGGCTGCAGCCCAAATATATCTGGGGACAGAACACTGATGTGAAGCCCCAGCTCAATGGAGAAAGACCTGATAACATTCTTGACAGAAAAATGTACGTGCTGCGAGGCTTATATAGGCCAGAATTGTGCAGGTGAGAAGTAGAGAGAGACTGAACGCTTGGAAAGGAATTCTGAAAACTGCAAAGGGATTAAACCAAAAATACAAGACGCTAAATCTAAGTAACTTTTATCTAAAACAGACACCTGTATAAAATGCCAGACAAATGCACACTGGAATTAGGGATCAGAGCCTTGATTTTAAGCATCTACCTTAGAGATCATGTCAAATTTCCACTGGACACCCTCCTGAAATAGGCAATTCAACACAGCACAGGTGACCGAACTGTGGTAATCTGACAGAGCAGACAGCTCTGACAGCCAGTTAAAGCTGTCAGTCACCTTCAATTCTGCCAGTGTAGGTGGAATTGAGCTAGGCCAACACAGATGCCCTGGTACAAAGCCTGGGGTCCCATCCCTTTCCTCACAGCCAGAGACACAGCCAAGATCCCCGTGTTCCCTTGCAGGCTTTTCCAACCTGTGTATGGAATGCAATCTGCCTCTCTTAGTTCAAGGAGCAACCCCTCTGGCTGTCCCTGTCCCCACTGAGCCCAGCCCAGGGCTCTCCTGTGGACAATGCACAGAGACAAGAGCTCTTACCGCAATAGTCTTCTCCTTGATTCCACCAACAGGAAGAATTTTTCCAGTCAATGACACCTCTCCAGTCATGGCTACGTTCTGCCTCACTGGGCAATTCATGGCCAGGGACAGCAGAGCTGTTACTATGGTACATCCCGCGCTTGGTCCATCCTTCGGGGTTGCTCCCTGTTTAAAAA